TAAATTCTTCGTATAACGTAGCAGTCACTAAAGTTACATCTACATCCAAACCTAATTTCTGTATTGCATTCCTATGTAGTCACTAAAACAAGCAGAATTCTTGAGAAGACTGTTAAAGTAAAGTTAACTTATACCCACAGCTTTGGTTACTTTTATTAGGGTCATTTTTAAAAATTAGTTGAGATTCACGTTTCGTGGGTAGACGGTCGTAATAGCCAATGTTTTTGAGTCCAGAAAATCAATTGGTAAGGTAAGTTTACGTTAAATATCATCTCTCTTTTTTAAAAACTAATTCTCATTACTTATATGACTTCTGTTATTTCCCATTCTAACGGACCGCGTGAGTCAGGTTTGACCGCATTTCTAAAGCATTTGTCGCCAGTGTCCGCCTCAGTGATCAGTACAAGTGTTTTTTGTCATTGATTTCACAGTGAATCATAATTCGAGTGGCATTGTGTCCACCTGTACTGATTAAATCCGCATTATGGTAAAGCCTGCACAACCAGACTTCAATTTTCTGAACGCGCCTTGAGATTTTCTCTTAATCACCCCCACCCGGACATTTCTCCATGTCAATGGATCTGGAAACGTAAATCCGACCACTCCCTTACGTTAAATTCCGATATTAAATGCGTATGAAGACCAGGTGGTCTAATGGTTGATGTACTGACTTTTATTTAAAGTAATTATGGTTTTGTCCCAACCATAATTATTAATCACAAATTATAAAAATTGTAACAAATTTGTCAGTATTATAACAACTTCCCGAAACGTCGTGTACAGACAATGAGCGATGCCCAACATAATACGAAGCTTCATCTCAAATTTTTAAATAAACATTAATTCGGTGAATAAATTACTGTAAGTACATTGATAAAGTCTTGTATCGAACATAGGTTGGTACTCCTGTTAAGATCATGGGAATTTCCATTAGAAAGTAAATCAGTTAGCTTCTTGTGCATGGCCAACTTCATTTTGATTCCTACTGCTATATCCGGTTCCTGAGGACGTCTGTGCCCTTGTATCGGCGAAAAGGTATGACAGCAACAATTACTATTTGCCCATCCAATCTACTGACCACATAATTAACTCTGAACTTAACCTAGAATAGAGTATCACTGACCGCACTTCACAGTCGGCGGGGGCTGGAATAAGAACCTCCATCTTCAACAGCTGCAACGATGCTACTGTGAGAACGCGGGAAGTGCCGTTAGTGCATGCGCCATGCTACGTCATTGCTCTATCACGTACGCACAGTCGCTTCGCTCAATATAAGGTTTGCTAGCTGTGGGACGAGTGGGAAACTTACTTTTGGGACGCGCCTCGTATAATAGCAACAGGTCTATTTTTGTGTAACATTCTCTCTCATGGTCTGGTTGAATGTTTCGTTCTTTACTAACGGCTCAAATGGAGTCGTCATTTGAAAAACTACGCTAAATACTGATTCATAACCACGGAATCATAGGAGTAAAATGAGTTTATACTGCATCAAATTTGGTTAAAATCACAACGACAACATTTCTCGAACTGTCTGTATAATTATTTTAAAAAAAAATTAAAGTTCCTGTCCGTCTAAAGCTTACCACCCTAACGTCTTCATTCTCATTCTGTTATTATCAAAAGGACGAGCGGGCAAAGCCTGCGAACCTTCCAACAATGTGATGTTTCTTATTCCCCCATAATTAAAATGTCTCTCACTTCTATCCTTGATTTCCTCTTTGCATGTGTACGTCTACTGTCCTCACCGAATCTCTCTCTCTCGGTTTCAAATCCGACAGTGCCAATTAAGTTGATAGAACCTTAACGATTATGTTCTCAGAAGGTTATTTTGTGTCAGGCTTTAAACCATATAATCATATTAACTTACACAGCCACACCTATATTCCATGTGTTCTATATGCCTATATTTTTATGATTAAGCAGCTCTGTTTCTATGCAGAGAATCAGAGGCTACTCTTATATCTAAGATAAACTTCATTCCTAGAAACAGACACATTTTTCTCACTAGTCGCTTGAAATTACGTGGGTGTGGTACTCCGAGAAACAATTACGTACGTACGGAAAACTTTCGTGGAACAAAACATCTTTAATGAAATCTCCGTTCTATAGCAAACGCTAAAATTAGCTTTGTCGATGTTTTCTCGTCATTTTTTTTCCCTACCGAATGTTCAGATAACTTTAAAAAGACGTATTCGTATTCTTTCAATACTCGTTTCATCTGTATTTTTCAATGATATGTGACTTTGCAAGTTGAAATAGCGTTGTAAACGAACTTTAGAAACATACAGAACAGACTCAGACATTTGGTATGATAACCTTTAGGATATGACTCAACCGAATCACCACGGATAAACCACTTTGTTTGTTTCACAATTTGAAATCCATTCTGCACCCCTCCTCGAAATATAAGACAATTGCGTGTTCTGAAGTAAATACGGCGAAGTGTTGAAATAGGGTAACTATTGCATACTAAGCAATGAACGGGTTCGTTTACCGGGAAACACTTTTCTGAATTCAATTTTGAATTGTATTTACTGTGTCGCTAAATGTTTCCCAGTAACATTAACAATTTAAAATTAAAACCACAGAAGTTACTTAGAACTTTTTAAAATTCTTAGTCTACAGTAGGAATTGTGTCAGAGATGTATCGACTCATTAATCATTCACGGCACGCAATTACACATCTGTGCTTTGTTTAACTTTTGCCGAAATAATACGATATCTCGCACCTGTCGTATCGATTGTTAGTTGTGGTTGGGGATTTCCATTTCGCTCTCCTCGTTTTCTGCTACGTCTTGGAGTCTTGCCGCGTGCTCCATTAAGTTTTGCTGTCGGTTTCTTTTTGAGACTTGTATTGTACCAGCGGCTATTAGTTTATCGCTGGGGCGACAAAGAATCAAATTTAGATTGAATCTACTTCCGTTATAATCTGCGAAACGTGACAGGAAAATTACTCACTTGGGTCTTCTGTACTCATAGGTGGGGTAATCTCGAAAGAAAACCATGTTTATTTCAAGTCAGCCATGAGACGTAATTGTAATCGAAGGAGCATTACTATGTCCTGAAGAATCCTCCATGGGACTTTATCCTGAGCCACAAGGATCTCCTCTTATTTCTACCAATCCAAATCTGTAATGAGTTCTGACATCATAAGAATTCTAAATGTCCATGTTATTTTTTATTTTGCTTGTAGATGGTACCAGAATGTCCAAGTGTTATGCTCTGTGTACAGGCCTAATTATATAAAATTATTATTCTAATTATCTAAAGGATTAATGGCTTTGAAATTAATTATTAACCAAAACAGGCCAAAGGGCCTAATCAATGACAGAAGGAGAATAATTATGAATATAACGTGGAATACATTGGGGCATATTGACAATTTTGCAGACAACACTCTGAAATAAAATCTTTTCGAATTTAATATTTAAAGAGTTCTGGGTTCAATCTCGACCACTGTCAATATATCGAAAATATTAACAATATGAGCAAGATTATGAGAGCCAATTGTCTCGGAGTTGAAGTAGGACCAGTGCCCGAAACGTCGTGTATATTAAGCCTTGGACAGTGTCCAGAATAATTACGGTATAAATAATTAACCAAATTCACAGTCATTACTGGAAGTATTCTAATTGGTAAAGCCTTTTCATACACTGAACATTAACATACCTGTTTTATGTAAGAAATACAAGCAGCGATACCTTTTAATGTCGGTCCATAACAACCTAGTATATAAGCTATCATTCATTTGGGGGAGAGGGGGGGGAGCATAGCCTGTAGCCCAAACAATTGTAATTTATGTCGAAGAACTTGATTGTGTCAACTTGTCACGGTTACTGAAGGACGCAGTATCGCATTGTCCGACAAAACACACATTCCTTCAAGACATTTCATGAGTGCAACATAACGACCTACCTGGCATACTGCACCTTCAGTTTGTGATTGAAACAGCCTCTTCGCTAATGAATACGAGGAACCGCAAAAAAGATAGCTTTTCGTAGGTAATACGTGACTCTTGAAAGTCATCACGTTTTGCTACAAACCAGCACTTTAATTTTTCCAACCAGGTATTATACTACAGAGTAGCCTTTAACAGAAGGCGAGAAATATATTACACAAAATTTTTCTCGCTGAATTTGTGGATGACCGTTAATTTCTGGGACGTGACATATGAATATTATTTTGTTATTTGTGGTTTATTTAAAGGCATTGTCAGTAGTTCTGGCTGCAGCGTTGATTAACAAGCAATGAATTGGAATGAAGCGGCCGTGGCCTAATTCAAGGTACTGCACCAATATTATTTAGGTGGTATAGCTCAGTCAGTGGTGTCTGACTGTCGACACGATCACCAGGGACTCGATGCCCGATAGGGGTAAGAGATTTTTCATACAGCCTCTGCATCCAGAACAGCTCTGGGGTCCACCCAGCATCCTATATAATGGGTACTAAGGGGGTTCCTTTCTGTGGGCGGGAGGTAAAACACCCCCAAATGCCTCCATGGCATGTTGGGAGAGAGCTTCACTTTACAACCAACATTTGCTTGGAAGGACTCGGTATAAGTATAAAAATTGTAACGTATCAGAAATGTATACAAAACCTTCAATGAAAATTTAACTGAGATTTATTAAAATATAACAAAACTAAAGTATGAATTCCTCACTGAATGGTACCTGCACCTTGTCGTGGTGGTGGGGCTTGAGTACCTCAGTGACCCCAAGAGCTACTGGTAGGGCCTCCCTAGCCAGATTGGTCGAGGGGGAGAGGTCAGACTAAGACAGGTACCCTGGTCCTCCAGGTTGGGGGTTGGTCGCAAGGCAAACAACCTTGCACCGTAAAAAGGAAGATGTTTCGAAACCTCGATCAAAGCCTCGGACAGACGGACCTAACAGAGGACCAAATGGAAGAGGAGAATTGAGGAGGCAATGGACCGAACACGGACCAGAGAGCAATAGAAGAAGAAAGTATGATGACGCTTTCCTCTAGCAAGAAATAAAACTGCCTGCTATGAACAATTTTTAATAAAGACACAAGTTTTTACAATTTTATACAGTATATTTAAATAAGAATAACATTATTCACACACTACTAATCCCTGTTTTTTCAACCTGTTCAAGTAAAATCTGAAGATTCGTATCAAACAGTTCGCATCGGATTGGCATTTCCAGCGAGTAAAATGGATTCTTCAGAGCATAATCTGCATACAGTTCATAAATTCTTTTCAACAGTACATCCATTCCACCTTGGTTTGGTTCAACCACAACTATGAACTTTACTCCTGGAATAGAAGAAAACAAATCTCTTGAAACAATTTTTTATTGAAAGTAATATATATATTACTACATGTCTTGTGCGTGGGAACGGAATTATAAACGATTAAAATGCGGTTCCAGCTCATTTTTCAGAAAACTGTAACGCAGTGATACAGCATTCACGTAACATATTAATTATTATACCACTATATACATCTATAAAGACCTGTCTGGGTATGACTATCAAATATGATGAAAATATGCTAATTGTTCTTGTGCTACACGAGTGTTTAGAATGCTGATACTGCAAATAATGCTCCAGCCATACATTCTCCACATCTGTTAGCCACTTAACAAAATCCAGTTGCAGCTAGTCTTGTATGTTTCTTGTAAATATTTTTATATTCACCCTAAATTTGAATGCAGTAGGCTCTGTGACATAATATACCTGTAAGAGTCTGAAAACAGTGCAGCTTGAATGTGTCTGCTTCTAAAACCTCTATACCAGAACTTCTAGGCTCTGGGCTTAACTGGCTCGCAATTGCAAAAAGTGGGTAGAACATGCTAGCTAGAAATATCTTCTCATTGGTCGTCATCTTAGGACGTTCAAATTTTAAATTCAGAGGAAATAATTCTTGAGTTTTCAGAACATCAAACACATCCCTTCCATCATCCAGCTGTTGTCCTGTCACTGGAATTCCATTTACTGCAGTCAGAACATGACCAACTAAAACAAGAAAACACGTCATACACAAAACTAGCGACATTGTCTTATACTGCATTTAGTAATAACAAGTCTTGCATGAAATTATACCTTTCATACAGATATTCCCATTACAATATATATATATAAAACATTCGTGTACTTATGTGAAATCATTTACAAATTAGTATAATTACTTTTAAGTTCCTGGGTGCAAAAACACACAGTGTTCTTGTCTACAGAATCCCATATTTTATACAAAATTTGCACATAAAACATTTATTTCTCTAAATTCTACAACTTTTTAAACCAATGAATATTTTATTTACCATTTTAGAGTTATATGCAACAGTAACTGACTTTTATTAGTGCACATGACTTTTACATTCATTACCTGTCAGATTTTGAAGGAGCTGACAGTAAGACAGGGCAGATGGACCTGTTAGCAGCCCAAGTCAGGCCATCACAACTATACCCAAGGCAGAACAGAATGCAAAATGTGAATGTTGGAACTCCAGAAGTGGGAATAGAATTTACTGGTCAAATAATTTTACCACAAGAATTTGAACTTTATATATTATCAGGTTATGTTCTGAAGGTTGTAGAATAGTAGCAGCAGGTTCATGTAACATGCCCTTTCTACAGAAGATGTTGTAAAATATAAAAAGGAAGTATATAAAATGTTATCTTTACTAACCTAAGAAAGAAATACAATTTATTTCATACCTTAGAATTCTCACAACATAACCTAAAATTAACTGCATTGAAAGTACTGGCATTTTAAATTTTGCTCTACATAATAAGCTATGCTCTGTCAAAAAATAATTTCAGCATATACCTTCACATACCCATTATCCCATCTCTTTGTCCAAAAGCAACTACAACTTTTTTGTTTTCACATTGCAATTGTATGTCTAGTGGAAAACTGAAGGTTTTCTCTGTCTCAATCTTCGTAAGATTATGATCATGATTAAAAATCAGTCCACCGGATTTTGATACAATGTATACTCCATATATAACCATCACTATTTTCACCTCTTAAGGCTAATATCAAAAACTGACAAATTTCCTATCTTTCATTCACTTATATTATTAAAATCAGCGATTTTCCATTTATCTTATTATCTGTGATGTATCAGCTGCTAGCTTCGACTATCGATAATAACTTTAAAGATGTTGTATTTTATACCAACTAATAATTTAATATTCAATTTAATATTCAATGATGTATATGCATTATTATATAATTAATATACGTTAATCAACCAACTAGTAATTTAATATCCAATTTAATATTCAATGATGTATATGTATTATTATATAATTAATATACGTTAATCATACAATCAAATTGAAAGACAACTTTTTAATATGACACAGATTTACAAGCTTCTGACTTGGTAACGACAAATCGATACGAACTAATATCGATAGAGAACAAAATATAATATGGCAATATTTGCGACAAATGCAAGTTAGGGTAGAGAGAATATAACCATAAATGGATAGTTTAACAGTGAGTTGCATGATCTGGTTGGACTCTGTAGGTTATCAGATTCGATATTTGTGATGTACTTGGAAGTTCTGTTATAATTTCAATGTTAGACTTACTTGCTGATTGTACAACGAAGTTTGTTTTACAAGTGGAATGAATCATGGCTATTAGTGTTGCAGTTATCCAATACTTATTTCTATTTGTATGATTCACAGGATTATTAATAGCACTTCTGTATAATTTGTTTATTCGATATAATTTTTTTGGCTAGCAATGTTACACATGTTTAGTTTTAAATTCTTATCTTTTGTGTACGCTTCTGCCTTGTTTACTAGCAATGTTACACATGTTTAGTTTTGAATTCTAATCTTTTGTGTACGCTTCTGCCTTGTTTAGTATTCATATGTTCAGAAATCAACACTGCAGAAACACTTCTCGTTAATATAATGTGATGCAGAGTTTAAACGACTGTCGTTAACATCCTTTTATTCTGAGTTTGTAATGATTATCATAAACACTTTCATTCCGAGTTTTTAATTGCCCTAATATTATAAGATGTATTTTCTTACATTTGATAATTTAAATGCAAATCAGTGACGTTCTCAACTGATACTGACCGTTCTTCTTGAGGATTTCTAGTATGTGCTATTATTTCACAAGAAGGACTCTTTCAGGCAATTATTTGTGCTGTTCTTCGTGGTTTTGGAGATAGTTTGAAGGGAACTGTGACAATATTTTACCTGGACAAAAATATTAAGAAGAAGGCAGTATATAGTTCTCCAAACAAGGATCACAATACTGCTAGCCGAAGAAAAGAACTGCATCGAGAAACATCAAGATCAGTGCGAGAAGAGTATGTAGTCATTTTGCAATAATTTTCAATGCAACTGTACTAGGATAAAATTTCTTAAAAGTGTAGAATTATGGTTTGTACATGTTATTCTTCTTTTTAGAGAACCAAAAGTTTTGAAGAGGACTTTACAGTGTTGTGCGCTAAATGGTGGAGTATTCTGGTGCAGCCTCTTGGTCTTTGAGTGTGGTCTCCTACCGCTGTTGAAGTATCTCCTTACAATCTTGTTTGGCCACTCTTCAAGTACAGGAAAATCACTTTGGTCATGGATGAAACTTTTCCTGTCTTGGACATTTGGTGCCTTTTGGGTGCTTCCATTGTTTCTGCTTAGCAAAATTGTGAATAGCCTGTGGTTCCAGGTAATTATAAGTGCTTGTTCCAAATATGTATGTGTGTGTGTGTGTGCGTGCGCTAAAGTTGTTATATTGTCTTTTAATGATAGAGTGAGCCTTTATGATGCAATGTTAAATTTAGTGATGTGTGATATCATTAGATTGCAGACAACTTTTTAAAAGATGTAACTCCCAGAAAGTATGGTGTGTGTGACTCAGTGTGTGTTAGGAATCAGAAGAACAATTTTCCAGAACAGTTGCTAGTTGGGAGTGATATTAAGGTAAAACATTTCTGTTAGTGTCTTATCAGTGTCATCTGTTGAATATTCATTGACATTAATTCATACTTCATTTTTATGTTTGCTGTTTGTGATGCAGGACATTGCTGATTCAGCATACCGATACAGCAGAGGCAGGCCACAGCTTCTGTCGAGTTTCAGCAAGCTGATAGCAGACACACTGTTTAGTGTCTTGGTTCAGGCTTTGTTCCTTGTGCAGGTAAAGAATTGCACTTTTGATGGGAAAATCCATTGCTTGACACATTCTTGACCTTATTATCTTCTGATGAAGTGGTATGTGCTTGGTGTCATACAAGTACATATTTTGTAACTCACTGTGTGGGTATTTATTTTATTTTCAGTTAGGTTTGGTAAGCTTTGTTTGTAAGATTGTGCATTGTCACATATCTAGATTGCATATTGTAATATCACACATTATATTCAAATTTCGTAGTGACCTGTATCAATTGCTTCAGTGTACTGCCTACATTGATACAGAGGAGCATATTTGCTACTGATGAAATGCTTTGATTTCAGAGTACACTCGTTAGTATGGTGCCTATTGTGTTTCTTGGAGATGCGCTGTGCCTTGTGCACATGTGTTTGCTCTACTCTTTATACTCCTTTGAGTACAAATGGTTCAACATGGGATGGGAACTGCACAGGCGGCTGACATTCATTGAAAGCAATTGGCCATACTTCATAGGTTTTGGATTGCCTTTAGCTGTTCTGACAGCTCTTCCCAGTTCATTTTTCAACAGGTAAGTGTCATAGTAAAAAAAGCGCTGAGCTTATGACAAAGGGAGTTTTGGTGCCTTGCAGGAGTTTATATCTTATTAAATTTGACCTGGGTGTGGTTAAAATGTCACCATAATTGTGTCATGCATTCTTTTACAGTGGGTGTGTATTTTCCATTCTATTTCCATTGTTCATAATAAGTGGAAATGAGGCTGATCCTGTGACTGGAGTCTGGTGAGTTAATGTAACATTTTGTTTATTTTTGTATTGGTATTTGTGCAAGTTTTAATAATTCATTCGTAGAGTACAACCATGATGTAATATAATTTATAAAATTCATTCTAACAATTACACATCTTAAAATTAACATTTTCAATTGAGTCTTTAGCTCTATAAGTATATGTATCACTATACTTCACTTGGTTTTAAAAGAACATTAAAGCATTTACTTTATTTAGTTGCTTATCATGGTGCATGAAAAAGAATTAGTAATACAGTGTACTCTTACATCTCACACATGCATGAGGTGTTATGGTTTCTTTTGACGTAAATACGTCTATATTGAAGGGTCATTCCGCAAAAAAGTGTAAGGAAAATGTGTAACATGGTTACTTAGGAAATATCAACAATTTGTAAATATGGACCATTGTCGTCGGTAATGTGTAAGATCCGTATTAACAAATCGACAACAATGTGTAAATATGGACCGACAACAATGGTTAGCTTGTGTGCATTGTTATGTTACCTAGGAAATGTCATCTGTTTACTTGGCATTGTTGTGTTACATTACTGCCGTCAACAATCCGCTTTCATAACAAGATGGATGACATTGAAGATAACATTACATTACTTTACTTTACATTACATTGACGTAAATATATTTTAAATACAGAGACGTATTTACGTCAAATTCTCCGAAACCGTGGTTCCACTATAACTTTTTTAACCATGTTTATTCATCAGTTGCACGTAAACTTGTGTTTTGCACCAGCATTCAATGTTTCTAGTGCAATTTGTACAAATTGCTTAATTCTCAGAATGTGAATGACAGTCATGGAAATTATATTGTTGCTTCTTTAATTTCAGTGACTACCCTCTGCAGTTGTTTTCACCTGTTATTGCAATTTCAAATGCACTTTTTAATCGGACAATCAGGCCAAGAACAATAGAACCCTCTAATGTGCGCAGGTGATGACTGTATATTGCGCAATACTCGGAGAATGTGACTTTGGAAGAAAACTTTGTAACACAGGGACTGTGTGTTTGAATTAATTTCTATGTGAAAAGTTTAAATGTAGTTTTGAAACTACATGCCATGAACAGAATGTAATGGTTGAGTTAGTGATAAACACAATTTTACAGTTCCACAGCCTGTGCAGAGCAGTGATTGCCCCATCTGTGTAGTTGTGTTCTAGTATGTGACACATCTTGAAGACAGTCATCAATTAATGATTTTATTCTTGATTATAAAACAGCCATTTTTTTATAATTTTGTAATCTCCCATCACTGTTGTGGGTGTATGTGGATAAACTTCATTTGTACCTAATGAAAACAATGAAAAACATTTCCAGCTATAGTTAATATGAAAATATGGCAGACACATACATACTAGTAATTTGCTATTATTACTTATTAATGAAGTATGGGGTTTACAAGAAGCCCATAATCTAATCACAAGTTCCTAAATGTTGTAAATGTAAATCTAGGTATATAAGAAACATTTTAATACCAGCAGTTGGGCTTTCAAACTTGTTTGATTATCATTCACAAGTAATAATTATATCCATGCTGCCTTATAAGTTGTAGCAATAAGTGAAAAACACTTTTCTTTCTGCTTTTGGTGAATTGAATACAAGTACCGAAATTAGAAAGATGTGGGTGTGAAGATTAGGAGAACAGTCAAAAGAAATGGCAATGCATAGTTCTGCAAACATATTCATGTTTCTTATTTTTATTTTTTTTGGTTATAAGAAATATTTGAAGATGAGAAGTTCAGGAAGTGGAAGTAAGTTATTTGCTTGACCAAATTATTTTAACTGATAAAGCTAAAATAATTTGTATTACAGTCTACAGTGATCAGTCCATAAATGTTGGATGAATGACATAGTTCTGTTCCAGGCCTAGTATTTCATTCACATTTCTTGATAAACTTGTTTGGAGACTTTTTCTTAGTCTCCAGCACCAGTTTATCCAGATGATCTTGAATGTTTTTATCCCCCTACAAGTATATGTAGAACACCATATGAGAAAGCACAGAGGAAGGTTGCGATCTTCTTGATTATATGTTAAACTGTCTTTGCATTACTTGAAAATCATCTTGAGTGATTGGCTGTGTGAAAGTTAAAAACTGACCCATGGTCATTACCACACAATCGTGTTGATGGAGATAGTAGATATCTGAAACATCAGATTTCAGTACATTCATTTCATGTTTTGCTGCTTCAGAGTTCCACTTTTGCAATGTTTCATTGGTGACATGTTTAAACTGGCAGCAGTTGCAGCTTCCTTTAGTCTGATGTGGAAATGTCATTAAATTTTAGTGATTAAAAAAAAACTTTTTGGTTGATTTAACCCTACAATGTAAAAACAGCTGTCCCGCTACACACCATGTAGGTCATTTGGAGGGAGTGGAGGTGTAGCTCCTACTCTTTCTTGACCTCAGCATTAGATGGGGATGAGTGGTCAGTATAACTCCCAGCCACGCTTTACCCCCGGGAAAGGACCCTGGTACCCATTGGATAGGAGGCTGGGTGGACCCCAGAGCCGGTGTGGATGCAGAGGCTAGCGTAAACCCTACAATGTACAATATTGAAAATCATGCTTCATTTTGTTGATGCTTCTCGCCTCTTTATAGGTCCTAAGATGATACTGTGTCATTTAAATATTGACTGGCTATAGAAAAAAAGAATAAAAGAAATAATAATGTCCTGTTATGTTATGCTTGGTCAATTTGCTTTTCATTAATTGTGACCCAAGATAGAAAAGGAACTCTGCTTCTATTCCTTTAGTGCATGATCTTGTCATCTTATTATTTAATATAGTACTTGATAAATTTGTAGATGAAATGAAGCAGGTAAAGGTGCGAGGAAGATTTAGATGTAAGTTTGAATGCACTTGTTCACATTTTGTGTCCAGGCTTTTTGTAGTGATGGGCATGATATAAGAAAGAGGAAACTGAAAACTATAATTTGCTTAAGTATGATTCAGAGAAAGGGTAAAATGAATATTCATTTAAAGTGGAAATGTCATCATCAGAAGAAGATGAACCATTTTTAGGCAGCTCCCTATTGCTTAGTCTCTACTACTTGACTTGGGATTTCTTTCTTTGTATTTAAAGAAATATTATGAATATAAGAGCAGTAATCCAGAGACCTGATATTAATGTTACTGATTTTGGAAACTTGCTCTGAAATCTTGATAACATTAACAATCATGTTTTATTTACATAAAAGAGAGTAGTTATTCCAATTTAATCCTGTGTTAAGAGAAGTCTTCACTCACGTATTTATTTCTTTATACCCCCACATGTTGTTTTATTGTAAAATAGTTTTACTTGATTGTTTAATTCAATGATGTGGGCAGAAATTAACATGTTTGCGCTGAGTTTGGTTTGTTATTAATTAACTTGAACATATATCTCATTTAGTTAGTGACAATATTTAAATGATTGGGTAAATGGGGCAAACTTCTTGCATTGTAATTATTTGCTTTATTTTATTTTTATTATATTTTTATCCATGATATAGTTCTTACATTATTCTTGGACAAATCATTAATAGTGCCATGCATGTAAAAATAATGTTTCAGTGTCTCTGAACAGTTAACCAGGCTTATGGTCAATGTACTGCACTTAGTTTGGATAAGATTAATTAATTACATCTATATGTCAGACTAAAAATATTAGAGCAGCATTTATTACCATGTACCTCAAACAATGCTAAAACATTTCTCATAAAACACTAAGTTTGGGGTGCTGTGAATAAACCTAAATGTTAATTTTAAGTTTCTTAATCATTTGTGGTCTGCTGGTTGCTTTGTTGCTCAGCTGTAATGTTCTTAGTTGGAACCTAATAACATGATATTGAAGTAATTTCTTCACATCCAAAAACATAGACAGCAGTACTGTAAATTATAATGGCTCTGTTTAATTTTCAATAATCTTAATGCATTTTGAAGGGTATGGGTTAGGAAACTGAAAAAGAAATCTGAAATGGAAAACATTATTTCAAAGGAAGTTCTAGAGCTAATGACACATAATTTGTAAGTAAACTGATTATAGTATATTGGCTATTACAGTGCTTTAAATTGGAGAATGCGTAAAGCATTTATGAATTTGAGAAAGGTACAAACAAACCCCATGTTTTCCACTTTCCGTGTTCTGTAGAGTGCAAGCAAATCTTCACTCTCTTGAGGACTGTAAGCTTCTGATATGTACAGGGGACTGATTACACCAAGTGCCAGTTAATTTTCTTCTTTGTCTTGACGTTCTCACCGAAAGCTTGTATGTTATTTTGAGAGGAAAGAAACTCACTCTGGCAGTGTTTTTTGGCCCCTTAAAGATCACTCAAAATTTTCAGGTTTTTATCATAAAATCTGAACAGTATTTATCTAATACATTGTTGAAGTTACTGTGTCTATAAACAAAGATATATTTTGTGTCCATTTTTATCAGAAAGGAAATTTTTTGATGCTAGTATTTTTTATGACATTTTCAGATGAAGCTTTGAATTAATGCAGTTTATACAAGTAAAGTTTATTGTACAAATCTTAAATATAGACTGATATATATCGTGCCCACCACTCTGCATGTCAATACACTGCTGATATGCAGTGAAAACAATTTCATTATGGCTACAAAATTGAAAGGTTTTATATGCATGAAGGATATACATGTAAATGTCTTGAAACAGGATTTCAGTTTAGCTTGTTATATGTATGTGTGAAATGAAGGCAAATTAGAGTAAAGCACTGAGTTTAAAATATTGTTAATAAAATATAAGAACTAAGATAAATCATATTCTTCTTGGGAAAAGTCATTGACTGAATTTTGATGTATGGTAGATTATACATATTGAACTAAAGACTACTTGCTAAACAGAGTTTCAGTATGTTTGATTATGGTATTTATACTGACAAAAAACAGATATTAGTGTATATGAAGAGAGTACGAGTAAGCAGTAGTATACGTAATTATTTGGCTCTCTTGGGTATTGTATGTAAAATAGTAGTGTCATTTGCTAATCAGTAGTGAACAGGTACTTCCATTATACTTTGAGAAGTAACATTTACAGTTGCAGATTTTTCACCCACAAACACATAAAACGATTTGAACTGTACAGCAGATTTAAAGCAAATTGAATTGAAAATGGATTGCCTTAAATCATCAATTTTCAATGTTTCATGGTCTTAATATATGTGTACTGAACTGATTACATTGTGTAGAATGAAATGCTTGTCTGTGAATTACTTGCTGTGAAAAAAGAAAGTGTGACTTGCCTAATATTTTAGAGCTCTGCTCGAGTTAAATTTTTGAATCAACCTTCTGCAGTCAGCAACATAATAAGACATATTGTACTTCAGTGCAGTACTGTTATGGGTTTACAGCACTGTAATGGTTATTTTAGTGCAAATGTGTAAAATACTGTATTTTCTTAACTTCAAATGGTTTTCATTCATGTATCAAATATCACTTATGAAGACATATTAGTTACAAATTTAGCATGAATCAGTTAACTGTGTGTAATGTTTACTGCAGTGCAGTATAAAGAACATCTGTTTGTAACTTTCATTAGGAAAAAGAGGAAAATGTTGGTATCACATGGGTTTAACACTTTTCTGGCCTGTTAATGACATAACAGTTTTAGCAATTCACCTTATTTTTACCGTAGGATTCTGTAACACTTGTTTAAAGAACTTGCATTGTGCACACTGAATTTTGTTAGATTTTATGCCACACTGAGGTCTGTGTTAAAGCGATGCAATACTGGTAAGTAAGCAATAGTTTCCTTCTTATTTTGATAATATTAAACACATGGTAGCTTGGTTTACACTTCAGTTTTGTAGCTGAAATATGGTTCTGAGCAATGCAATGTATGTACAGATTATAGTATCACATTTCCTAGTTAAGAATCCATTCTTAATCTTTGTTGTTTTGGCATACTTTCTGACTTATTGGGTGTGCTCATGAATATATGAGAGAATGCTTTCAACAAACAGTTAAATGTATTCATGGCTACAATTTAAGATGTAATTTTAGTTGATTTTGATATAAAGATATTTTGACTCAGTTTGACGTCTTCCTACTTGCAGAGTGCTACATATAAACTTTATACTTTGTTGTTTTACTTCACAGGAGCCATCTCCTCTCTTGCATTGAAGTTCTGATATACATTATTATGGATGGCTTCTTGGGCAGATCATGAAAACAAGCTTTGAAGAAAGCACCAAAATGAGGTTTGATATTTTAATAATTAAATATATGGGAGCCATAGCTAGATGGCCTTCCATAATACATAGTGCAAAGTTAACAGTCAATTCAAATGACAGAAAAAATATTATACAGGCACAAATATTGACTGCATCAGTACTTGTTTTGCTAGTCACTGCCACCTATTATTATTAACTAGAGCAGAGCGCTCCTTTCGGAGCTCCTGGAGGGGGTTGGTCAAGTTTTCAAAACGCAACCAACCTTAAAATCTTGAGTAAGACACTAAACTAACTCCCCTTCGGCATTGTTGTGTTGGTACAACACAACAATGCCGAGTAAACGGTTGTTTGATGATGTGTGTTCTATTATAACCAACCAATTTGATTGTTGTGTTGTATTATAACCAACCAATTTGTAGCCATTTGTTTACTCGCCATTGTTGTGTTCCACAGCAATGCCGAGTAAACAAATATTTCTTGACATTGTTGATGACGTCATTTTTTGACGACAAATAGGTTGACGACAACGGGGAATCAGAAATTTTTATAGTATTAGGGCAGAACGCTCCTTTCGGAGCTCCTCGGAGGGGCTGGTCAAGTTTTTAAAAAGCAACCAACCACTTTGGGTGGGGGTGTTTGGTTGCATTTTAAAATCTTGTGTAAGAAACTAAACTAACCCCCCCGAATGGAGGGTTAAACCACTTGACGTTTTAAAATCTTAAGTAAGACACTAAATTCGGCATTGTTGTGTTCCATAACAATGCCGAGTTTGTTTATAGTTGACATTGTTGATGACGT